GGCCCTTCTCAGACAAATGCCTCAATGTCTTCACCTGTTTGGGATCCCGGTTCTGAGGAGCTGGTCCAGAACCACAGAACGCGCCTCTGAACCAGCGGCCAGCAGAACCGGACGGAACCCAGGTCCGACTCGTCATCGTATCATCACAGAAGGGAGAGAAAACTAAAGCCCAGCCAAAGCTCCACCCGGAGAGTAAAGCAGAAAACTCTCACTGACCCATCCCAACCCGGTCGATCCCAACAGGTTCAATACTTTAGACTTAGACTCAACTTTATTTATCCCTTTATTTACTCCTTCAGGGAGATTCTGGTTTCAGTAGCTTATATGGAGTACAAATGGCAGAGTAAAAGCAAGATGCCATTAAAGATAAAAATACAGACAATATAAACAAGTGTATATGGGATAAAAAAGTTGTAATGTCCTAAAATATGTTTCATTTAGATGGAAAATATCTGCACACTAAAGCGCTATGGAAAGACTCCATAAAAGATAAAAAATAGACAATATAAAAAGAGTGTATACAGTGCAAAAGAGCACAAGAAAAGTTGTAACGTCCTAGAATATGTTTCTTTTAGATATAAAATATCTGCACATATAAATATATATCCAACTTAAGAGCTATCTGAAGTTGGGCTCAGATGTGAACCCAAGTGGATAAAAGTTCAAAATAAGCATGTGGAACCGTAAACGGCGTGTTACCTGCGGACAGCCAGGCCTCCCAGCAGCTTGTAGCGCAGAGACTCGGCCTGGGCGATGGCACACAGCCCACGGGTGGCCACCTTCTCAGCATACAGCTAAAGGGAGAAAACAGGAAAACATGAACCCCCAAAAAGGTCAAAACAAGCCACAGAAAACACACTTCAACAGTTATTCAGCTGCTTAGTTGTCAGACTCATGTTGAACAGGGATTTACTCTGATAACTTAAATGGGACATATTATGCAAAACCAAGTTTTTAATCATTTGATTCTGTACATTTGGGACTGTGGCGGGCCTATCAGCAGGCAAAGTGTGAAGAAAAATGACTCAGTCATGTTTTTGTGGGCTGCCTCAGTCTCCTGAGATAAATCAGGAGGTTTCAGGAGTGGGTAGTTTCTGACGTCATTAGCTCTAGCTCATAATATTCCAGCCTTTTAACCTGCATGAAAAAAAAAATCTTGACTTATCGCATAGTAATAAATTAAAATAGTTTTTTCTTTTGAAATATTTTGTTAAAAGGCCAAATATAAACTTAAACCCCCCAAAAAGTAAGTTTCTGTTTTATTATTGGTGAAATAGGGTATAATATGTCTCCTTTAATGGTTAGGACACAGACCTGTGGGTTAGAGATGCTAATGCTAATGTGGGATCGGACTTTAAAGTAAAACTGGATCTTGACTCTGGATCTGCATTTTCTCCTGCCGGCAGATAAGCAGTTTTTTTTTCTCAAATATCGACGGCCGATCTGATCCAGATATCGGATCGGGATAAGCCTATTCCTGGTTGTGGGTCCTTCTCAGACAAATGCCTCAGTGTCCCTCATGTGGAAAGGACTCCCGGACCTGGGGAACCGGAGCAGAACCACAGAACGTGGACCCGAACCGGCATCCAGGCCCAGGCGGAGTCCAGCTCTGTCTCGTCATCGTGTCATCACAGAAGGGGAAGCGTACGCCGCATCAAAAGCGACTTTAGGAATAACAGAACTAAGCTCGTCCCAAAATTTGCAAAAATAAAATAAAAATGCGTATAGCAGGCAAGAAAAAAGACAGATCCAGACTCCAGATCAATAAAAATTAACAAAAAAACAAGGTCTAATCAAAATAATCCATTACTGATGCCGAGTTAATAGACAATTTTTTATTCAGGTTGTTTGTGTGTTTTGCCTTTACAAAGTTTACAATATTATTTGCACTTTTTACTGTTCACTGATTCATTTCCGTTATTTAGTTAATAATTTTGTCTATTTTGTGTTTATCCCTGAATTAACAGGTCAGTGTCTCTTTACCAACCATTGTGTCTTATTCAAACTCCCCTAATTCAGCTGCTAGTTGTTATCAGAGTAAATCCCTGTTCAACATGAGTCTGAAAACTAAGTAAGTAGCTAAATGACTTTAAACTTCAAAGTTTAAAGTAAAACTTTAGGCTGGTATTGGATCAGAAGAGCAAAAAGCTGGACCGGGACATCCCTAACCAGAATTTCTTGATTTTGCAAACCAAAAACATAAACAAATCCAACACTTTTGTGTCATAAAGAATACAAAAGCAAATCGGCTCCAACTGTACAGACACTATCAATCCAGAGGGAAATTTTGCTAGAATAACAAACTAAAAGGTGATCAGTAGTAATGATTAATAGTTTCTCTAAACCAGTGACACTCTCCTGATCAAATGAACATGTCTTCAACCTTGTGCAGGGTTTTGGGGCTCATGGGGTTCTTTTTAGGCATGAGGTTGGGGAAACTGATTTATTTTTGCCACCTTACCTCCACGCTGCCCTCAGGGAAGCCGAACCTCTTCTGGACCACAGCGGTCAGCTCTCTGATCCGGCGGCCCTTCTCTCCCAGCACATTCTGGGTCCTAAACAGGACACAGACACTTCAGGATGGACCCTTACCACCTCTTTACTGACTAATAAAAGAGGCATCAGAGAGGGCTGGGCTTCACATAATTACAGACAAACTCGGAGGACATGAGTCTGAAATGGCTCTAACAGAAGCTTCTAAAGGCACAAAGAGCTCTGAAACTGATCCGACTTAGTTTTCATGGATCAGTTGAGCCTTTTCTGGCTACTTTATGCTAAATCGAAACAGCTGAATTTAGCTGCAAAGCTTTGGATAACACCATGAATCTCCCGCTAAACAGCTGTATAACGACTCCCCCGGGATATCCAAGCCTCAGGCAGCAACTCCTGCCTGGATCTCTAATTTCCCAGATATAATCACAGCTTGTGACCCAGAATGAATTAACATGGGGGATTTCAAACCTTCAGCAGGCTTGTCTTGATCCGATATCTGGCAAAAAACTATCGGCCGGCAGGAGAAAATGCAGATCCAGACTCCAGTTCTTTTAAAAAGTCTGATCCCACACGAGCGTTAGCATTAGCTTCTGCTAACCCACAGGTCTGTGTCCAAACCATCAAGTTGTTATCAGAGTAAATCCTTGTTCAACATGAGTCTGACAACTAAGTAAGTAGATAAATAACTTTAAACTTTAATACAGGGTCTGATTGGCTGGGATCGGAAGTTTAAAAAAAGCTGGTTCGGGACACCCCTATCCTCAAGTCTCACTGTACTGCCGGTTTATGAATTTTCCCCGATTAAAATCACCCGATAACAACCTTTTACCTGATTAAGGTGGGTTAAACCTTAGTGTGAGATCCCTTTTTGACTGGTAGTTTGTGCAGACGTTTTCCAATAAAAAACTCAAACATGAGTGTAATGAGGCGAAAGATGCTGCTGAACAACCCAAACTCACAGCACTAGCTAAGGGGATCTTTGGAAACTGTCCTGTATCCCCATTGGTCACTTTGAATCACATAAGTGACAAATGTCCCTGAACATGACAGGACTTTTCTTTCCTGGCGTGTAAGGAGCGGGTGGGCTCTGCTAACCTTGTGGCCAGGATGATGATCTCGGTCCTGGTGGGAGTCACGCGCACCTCCACGCCGGAATAACCATCCTCAGCAAGCTCACGAGTCAGGAACTCGTTCAGCTCGGCCTTGAAGATACCGTCTGCGACGAACTGGAGAAAAAGACCAAAGAACAGGGTCAAGCTTTAAAAGAAACTAGCTTAAAAATGAAAGCAGGAAAACTGTTTTACTGCTATTAGAACTATAAGTGTCAGAGGAAGAGGAAGCATGTCTGTATCTCAGGCTGCTAATACGTCTTTAAAAACACCACGTCAGTTCAATTTATTTAAATTAAAAGCTATTTCTCGTGTAATAAATCAAGAGGCAATATTTTCGTCTAATAGTGATTTTGGCTTGTTTTACTGAATTAAAACGTCCATGATGTCAATTCAAACCAGGACACGCGCGCGACGTTTCCACAAAACGCCACTTTAATGCCACACCAAAACTATCTGAGCCTGTAAATTTCTAAGTGACCTTTTCTTTATTTTATCGACAATATTACGGAGCTCCAGCCAGTTAGTAGCTCCGCTCCGGCCCCGGTGCACACAGCCATGTTAGCTAGCCAAATGAGGGTTGCGTCTCCTGGCAGAATCGGGGTCAATCCTCCGGTTACCGGCGGCGTACGGGCTCATCCGGTACCGGAACGAGCCCGATAAGTTCACATCCCTCCCCGTATGGTCCCATTTTTATACGACAGCCTCGTCCGCGAGCGTAAATCTGGGGTAAAACACGGCTAACCTTCCTCTTCTTGGAGATTTGCACCGCCATCTTCCAATAGGCCGTAGACAGGAAAGGACCCCGGAAGGACACGGAAATGAATTTATAGCAGAGTGGCTGGCTTCCGGTGACGTCACAGATGGTGCGACGCTGGAATTTGTAGTTTTATTCTTTTTACCTGGCTGTGCTAGATTTTCGTTTCGAAGTTTAAACTAAATAAAATCTAGCAATTCTGAAGTCTATGTGGATATTCTGAATAAAAAAACATATAAATTGTCATGAAATCACTTTAAATTGTTCTTCACCAAATAGACTAATTATTCAAATACATTACATCCTTTTTTACACGTTTTTTATATATTTATGGATGTAATTATTTAAGACAAGGCAAATGCAATGCAGCCAGAAAAAAATGGAAGAGAACACATAGTTTAGAAAATAAACCAATGGTCCAAAATTAATTATTCAGCCAATTCTGTTCTGTTTATCAGGGCCTGATTAATATTGTTTAAGGCTTTTGTTTTTGGAAATGTATTGAGTTTAGTCCAAAAATACACACATTTATTCAAGAATAAGCTTAAAGGGAAAAATATTATTGTGTAAATGCACTTTTGCCCTAAGATGTGTGTTAGAGGGCTTCTTGTTACATTGGGATCCTGAACCGCCGTGTATGGTGTTCAGACTGTTTACTGCCCTCTTGTGGTCAGATGGAGGAACGACTTCAGATACCGTTGATAAATTTAGACTTTACCAAAAAAACAAAAAACGTGTACTTCACTCAGCATTCACTAGATGACTTCATTCCCCCAGTTTCAGAGAAGAAAGCTCTGTGGTTGCCTCGGGTGTACGTTTGCATCAGACTCTTTCATCTAAAGTTACTTACATGGATACAAGAGAATAAAGTACATAGCCATTAAAAGTAACATTTTCTGTTAAAAATAACCACATTAAGATGTCCCTGTCATTCAAAATTACTGAAATAACCTGCGGACATACTAACATTTGACTATAGTTTCAATTAGCAAAACCAAAAGTCTGTTGTGGAACCTTTTGGTAATAATGAATCAGAATAAAGTTAATCTGTTTGAAAGGCACAAGTGAATCATCTTCAAAACATGGAAACTTTAAGAAAAACGGTCAGGAAACTAAATGTAAATTTCATGTTTTGGTGACTTTTTTTTTTAAATCAGAGACATACTTATGGACATGACCGAAATAGTTTAATAAAATCCAACATAAATAAAGGAAACTGACAGTTCGACTCTAGATGCTCATTTAAATTACAACAGCACCATAAAGTACTCAGATAAACATACAGAAATACAATGAAATACATTCCCAACTGCTGTTATTTCGGATGTGGAAGGCAAGTAGTTCATTTGGATGAAACATTTACATTTTGTCTGTTGTTCGTTCGTTTTTTAAGTCATGTTAATCAAAAATACTTTAATTAAAATTACACCGCAGTCAAACCTAAAATGAACCAGTGCTCATGACAAAAACCTGAGAAGACTCGGGTGTGTGCAAAGTCCTCCTGGCTGCCGTCTCAGCAGCAGCTGCCGGCCTCCGGCGCCTGCTTCTCCGCCCCCAGCCACAGGGGGGCGCTGCTGATCTTGGCTCCCTGGGCCCGGGGGTCCGTGACCTGGCCCTGGATGCCCCCTCCGTCGCTGGCCAGGCGCTTGTGGATCTCCGAGGCCATGGTGAGGAAAGCCCGCTCCACGTTGACGGAGCTCTTGGCGCTCGTCTCCATGAAGGGAACCTTCAGGGTGGAGGCCAGCTCCTGAGGGCACACCGGGTCAGACCAATCAATTCCTGGATATGGGGGGGGGGTCTAAAGTACAGTGGCCCTGAATTGCAAACCACATCAACAAGTCACTTGTCAACTAATCATTTAAAAAAGACAACACATCCACAAACACATATTACAAAAAGAAAAGAAAACAACATCAACTGAGCAAAATTACAAATGAAAAAACACAATAACGTTAACAAAAACATTTTAAAAAACACTACAACGTGTTACAAAAGCACTAAAACACAACATATCCAAAATATTACGGCATCTTACAACAACAACCTTAATTCACCACAATTACAAATGACAAAAAACACAATAACATTAACTAAAACTCAAAAACGTTTACCAAGCACAATTTTAAATGACAAAAACACAATAACATCAACTAAAACACAAAACCGTATCCAAGATACTACGACATCTTGTAGCAAAACAACATTAACTTAGCACAGTTACAAATGACAAAAACACAACAGCAAATCAAAAACAGTTACATCCAACAAAATCGCAACATTAACAAAGCGGAAGAACCGGAAGTTTGGGAACCGGAAGTGTTGAGCTTCCGGTTCCCAAACTTCCGGCTCAGAAGCTAACTGCTATCGTCCAGTTGGCGATTTCCCAGTTTTCCCTCTTGCTTTTTATGAATGTCATTGTGTATTTGTAATTGTGATCAGTTAATCTCGTTGTGTTTTTCAAGATGACGAAGCGTTTTGGATCTGTTATTTTGTTTTCGTAGTTGTAACTAGTGATTTGTCGATTGGGTTTGAACTTCAGGGCCACCGTAGTAGGGCTCGCTGAGCCGTAGCTCGGGTTTTAAAAAAGCAACGCCCTCCCACTATTCATCACCTGAGCTCTGAAAGTGATGCTCGCTGTTCCCGTTACCTGAGCGGAGGCAGCATCCACAACTTTCTTACTAACGAGGTCAGATTTGTTTCCCACCAGCAGCCGGGACACGTTCTCACAGGCGTAGCGCTCGATCTCATCCAGCCACTGCCTCACGTTGTTGAACGACTCCTGCGGGGAGGATTTATTTATTTATTTATCCATTTATTTATTAATTCATTTATTTATTCATTTATTTATCCATTCATTCATTTTTTTATTAATTCATTTATTTGTTTATTTATTTTATTTTCTTGATTAGAAGTTCAAAACAGTCCAAAACATAAACGAAACTGACCCAAACTCTCGTGGAAAATAATAAAACACAACAGAAGAGCAGTAAGGAGCAAAATCACAGACTAAAAAAACGTTTTTAGCTATTTGTCGTCAGATGATTCTTGCATTTTTTTTTTCATTTTTTAATTTGACATAGAATAATACAGTTTAAATTCGTCAACAAAAAATGAAGCATTTATTGCAGTGAATATTAATTTTAAACAATTTACTTCGGGGATTAAAGTATTTCTGATTCTGATATGGTGTTAGGATAAAATTACTATTATATATATTATAAGCTAAAATAACTATTATATTACTAGCATCAGGAAAGCTGGATTCGGGTTATCCAGGTAGAATAAAATGTCCCCAACATTAAGCAATGGAATTTTAAGATTATTATTAATCCCAACGTCAATCCGAAAACTTTGTGAATGTCGACATGGAAAAAAAAAAGTTCTACATATTCCACGCGTGTTCAAGCACCCCCTTCCACGCGGACCCACACCCACCTGCTCCGTGACGTCATACACGATGATGATGCCGTGGGCCCCTCGGTAGTAGCTGGAGGTGATGGTCCGAAACCTCTCCTGCCCGGCCGTGTCCCACTGGGGGGGGGGGGGGTGACAAACACACGCGCGCGATCAGAAGCCACCGCACCTCCATCCCTGCACGCGCCCCCAACTCGCCACGCGCACACGCACGATCTGCAGCTTGACGGTCTTCCCCTCCATGTCGATGGTCCTGATCTTGAAGTCCACGCCGATGGTGGAGATGTAGCTGTCCGTGTACGTGTCGTCCTAAAAGAGAGGT